TTTTTGGGGGTTGAGGGTTCAGGGTCAAGGCTTCAGGGGTTACGGGGTTTAGGATGGTAGAATTTGGGATTTTAGGTTGAGAGTCGGTTTCTGAGGCCCATTTTGCGGACATCCGACTCCATAACACGACGGGCCTGCGAGGGTTCCCGCAAAGCACGAATGCGATTTGGTTCGGGGGAGATTTGGCCAGGGCTGAGGGTCGAGGGGTTGTCAGTTTTTTTTTCTGTTGCTTAGGATATGGGCTTACAGTGCCAACAAGCCTGCAGCGCCACGTGCTGAGGTTTAGGGCTTAGGGTCTGGGGGTGCAGTGGAGTCTATGCCTCCAGAAAGCATCGAACGCCTCCGATGCGGAAGCGCAGATCATGAACCCTGGGGTCAAATCCCTCAACTATAGACAAAGATCCTAACCATGTACCATGAACACCCTCACCATAAACACGAAAACCCGAAGCCCCAAACCCCGAGCCTAAACCGTAAGCCTCTCGGTTACGGGGTGGTAAGGGGGTAAAGCCGTCAAACAAAGAGGCCCCAACAACAGGCTCCTCCTGGTAAGGAACGCTGTACACCAGTAGGAAAAGAGCCCGTGAAAAAAGACACCTCCAAGCAGCATCTCCGAACTTCTCTTTACTTGGCTTCTGAGGAGCAGGGACCCGATCCCCGGGATAGAAATTTTGCAGGCCGTGAACCCTAAACCCGAGACCCTACGGCATAGGGGCCGTGATGCTTACTATACGGATCTGGTGTACTTCTGCGTTTCTTCCTTTTTTTCTGGGTTATGGCTTCCTTTCTAGGGATCGTCAACAATACGATGTCTGTGCGGGTCTGAGCATTTAGTAATATAGGGCCTTTACATTCCACCAGCCTCTAGAATTACATTATATGTTAAGGGCTTAAGCGGCCATAGTCAGACTTCCGCGACGTTGTCGAACCTTGGATGACCTTGCAGAATGCCACTTGTGGTCTTGGCCGTGCAGTTCTGTCCGTGTTCAAGTCTGGGGTTACCCTAAACCCTGAACCGAAGACCCGACACCCGCCCAGAAGCGCAAGCGTAACCTTCAACCTTAAACCATATAGGTAAAAACCACACGCGAAAAGTAGATGGGTGCGCAGCGAAATGGCCCCATACATCGCTGCACTGGGTTGCTGCCTGATGAAGACGAGATCAAAGTCATACAAGACATGTGGTGTGCAGTCGCGTTGAGAACTACCTGCAGAACATGTGTCGGAGTCTGGACAAGTTAAGATCAACTGTCGAACTTGAGATGCCGCGGCAGTTCCCCTGTCTGAGATCTTTGTTATGTGGGAGCAGCACTGTGTTACCACCGGCGGCGGGTGTCTTTGGTAGCTGTGCATTGCAGACCTTCTGGCACCAGTCCTAAACTGCACAACCGGAAGAGCCTACGAACATTTCGTGTTTTCAATCGGCCACATCCTCCTGCCGACGGGCAAGCCGATGACATGTTGCGTCACGATGCGTATTGATGGGTTTCACATTGTGGAGCCTTCTTCTTCTGCTTCCTATCAAACCTTGCTGTGGCAAGCTTGAGCTTTGGAAACTCTGACGCAGGGTTTGTTTTTTGCAGTGTTGGGGCATCTTAAATACTGAGCCACCCCGACCCCTAAACCCTAAACCCCACACGCAGAACCCTAAACCCTAAACCCCAAACCCTAAACCCAAGACCCTAAACCCAAAACCCTAAACCCCAAACCCTAAACCCAAAACCCCAAACCCTAAACCCTAAACCCTAAACCCAAAACCCCAAACCCAAAACCCTAAACCCAAAACCCCAAACCCAAAACCCCAAACCCTAAACCCTAAGCCAAAAACCCAAACCCTAAACCCTAAACCAAAAACCCTAAACCCTAAACCAAAAACCCTAAACCCTAACATGCAGGTCACGTACATCCGAAGGAAGCGAACCTCCCAGTGCTGGAACGGCGAGGCGGCGTCTGCTGTGGCCTTGGGGTTTGGAGTTTAGGGTTTAGGGTTTAGGGTTTAGGGGCCGTGGGTTGAGAGTTCAGTACAGGGCTTTGGGTTCTTGTTGAGGGGTGCAGGGTTTAGTGTTTAGGGTTTTGAGGTAGTGTTGAGGTCTGATTGGTGGTTTAAGGGTTTCTTGTGTGGGATGTGGGTGTAGGCCAGTGATCAATGGCCCCTCGTCACAAGGCTTATCGTAGGGGCCTTGAAATTATGATCCCTGAAGCACTAACCAAGGGTTTAGATTCATAAAGCGATGCCGTGAGGGTATTGGCATTTTGGCATTCCCACTTCACGGTCTGAAGCTTGTCGGGATTTGGGGCTGCGGGTTTTCTTGGCGTCGCAGGCTTTCGAGAGGCCCACCTACAAGAAGACCTGCAGCTGCACCCAGGCATCGTGGCGAAGGGCGTTTTATTCTCAGTGCCAAGCTCCCCATAGTGCAAGGTTTTCACGGGCATGGGCTGTAGGGTTGTGGGTGCTTAGGATCTTGGATTTCGGGTTGCTACGACGGGGTGTTTAGGGTTCAGGGTTTTTGGGTGTTTGTGGTTCGGAGTTTAGGGATGAGTTTGGGCCGATTAGCTTGGGGATTGCTGGTGCGGCTTGGAATTCTTCCGGCAGCTTGCTGCCATGCGCAGGCCTACCTTTTCATAGAACTCGTACTGTTCGGAGGGTTCGCTTTACTACAATTACATCGGGGAGCCTTTGGCTAAGGATGTATTCGGAAACCCTAAAGAAGCTACGACTAGCGATTATTCAGACCGCCATGCCAGACCTCTCAGCGCTGTATTCCGAAAACCGCTTGACTGAACTCTACAAGAACTCCTGCCTGTACTGAGGCCATGAATATTATTGAGACCGGGTTTCTCAGACCAAGGTGGAGGGGCTGCACTCTATACGTATAGCACTCTACGAGATGTCTTTAAATCTTCGGGCTTCCAAGTTCTTGAGGAACGATTAATATTGCACCCTGCTCAGGAGCCGTCTAGAACCCTTCAAGAACCGCTTCTTGAACTCCCATAGAACCCTTAAGAGGAGATATTTACAGGAACCTGAGCTGAAGCCCAGGAGGGAAGATATTTTCGTCCGTCTTATGTCTTCGTAGTGGGGATGATATATCTTAAAGCCCAAAGGACCCAAAGCCTAAACCCGAAAGTTACCATAGCCTAAACGTTGCAGAGCTTAAAGTCCCTAAGCTCAGACCCCCAAATCCCCAAAGCCTAAAGCTTAAACCGTAAATCCTCAAAGCCTAAACCCCAAAACAACCTGTCGCTGGTGTGCCGTATCTAGTGCAAGCTCAATCTTGAGCAAGTGTCGCGCACAGAACCGGGGCTATGGCACTTTAGACAAAAAATCCAAACCTCAAAAGTCATTAAACCTCAAACTCCAAAGCCTGAAGGCCTGAAGACCCCAAAACCTATAAACCCCCGAAGCATATAGTTCTCAACGCTTGCAAAGCAGGCAGACTACGCCTGCGACGTCGGCTTCGTTCGTGCCGTCGGCTCGACGGAGTGCACCTTCGGGGGAGCGGAGATGATGCCAGACAGGCGAGCTAGGGTTTAGGGTTTGGGGTTTAGAGTTTAGGGTTTGGGGTTTAGGGTTTAGGGTTTGGGGTTTAGGATTTAGGGTTTTGGGTTTTTAAGGGCTTCCCGAGTTTGAGAAGTTTTACGACGGAGGATTTCGGGCCCAGAGGGTGGTGCAGATGTAGGGTCTAGAGATGAGGGGGTAAAGAGATCGAGATTTCAGAGATTTCTCAGGGTGGCAAGTTGGGCTCAAGGGTTCAGGGTCTCGGGTACAGGGCTGACTGAAATCCTTAAGCCGTTGTTGTGATGAAACGAGGGGCCGTTGCTGCATTGTTCAGGGATGGAATAGCCAGCCGAGTAGCTCGACGGTTCCACTTTCTGCATACAGTTGAACTGAACTCTTCAGAAGCCCGAAACATTGGGGCCATGGCATTCCTTAACCTACCAAAACCAGCCTTAAAATAAGAGCCTACAAGAAAGTTGAGGTCAGGGCCATGATTCCGAAGATTCCTCCAACGTCCCACCTAAATAGTACCCTTAAAGGAATCCTAAACCTTAAACCTCACCCCAAACCCCGAAACCCCAATATAGAGCAAGCCCCAAGCCCATTGTAGTATCCTTATAAAGCCCTTTTAAGGAACCAACATAATCCCCTTTAAAGGAACCCTGAACCCCTAAAACCCACACAACGTCTCACAGCAAGCCCCAAACCCCCGAAAGGGCAGGGTGTTTGCATACGCAACGTGTTGGGGCTTCACTCGAATCCGCTGGGCCTGGGAGGGCTGCAACACTGAAACCCCAGCCCTGACAAAAGCCTAGTTCGAGATACTACGGTTGATGATATAAATCCTGCATTACCCACGATAAGGAATACACCATAATTCCCATAGTTTCGGGTCCTTAAGCTAATGCAGGATTTATATCATCAACCGAAGTACTAGCTTAAAAGAAAATCACAGTAAGGAGCGCTATACAGGCAGAGTTTCGGGTGCAGGTATGGACCTTAAACCTTAAACCCTCAAGCCAGAAAGCCGCCTGACACCCACAACCCGAAACCCACAACCTTGAACCCTACATCTTTAAAACATAAACCTTCAACCGACCCGCAAGTACCACAAGCTCTGAGGTGTCCTCACGATCATACCGCCCGATTGCAGGCAAAGCCCTTGGCCCAAGTGTCGCTGTACTGCAGCCCTGAATTCAGAGCCTTTGGCATCGAATCCTCAACTCAGAAACCTCGAACTCCTCCAACCTCAAACCCGAAACCCTACCTCCTAAATGGTCATCCAGGAGCCGACGTGGCCCCTGAAGCGCCCGAAAACTTCTCAAAGCTCTAGTCTTGAAGCCTCAAAAAGCCCAACAAACTCCAAACCCTGAGCCAAGTCCAAACCCCAACTCATAAAGTCTCGACACCCATCAAAGCTCCCCCTGAATCCTACTCGTAGCCCTAAACGCCTTTAAACGTCTTGAAGAAGAGCGCCTCGAAGCGCTCTCCGTCGCCTGCCATGGGCCGCTCCAAAGAGGGCAGCCCGGCGCACCGGCGCAGCCGGCCAGAAAACCTGGCCCTCGTCGGAGGCTGGAAGCACTCTGTTTGTGTGTATGTATATGCAAAATTCTTCGTATATGTTTGCAAAGGCAAACATGCATAGTGTACACATGTGCGTGCGGTATACACATATTTATGTGTTTGACCTCTTTGCAGTAAAAAGCATTAAAACATTTGACTGTTCTATGCATTTTTTGTTACGCTTTGTTGGAAGTTTAACACCGATTCTCTCCTCCTTTAGCTTTCTGCCAGCAGGGTCGCATCACACTCTGCAGCCTGAAGCACAGCCCTGATCCCCGAACCGTCCAAAGCCAGAGGCAAGTCTATGACACTGCTGCCACCCTCTGGCTACCCTGCCAGAGACCCTGATGCAGAGGATCGGTCCTGGCCTTACCAAAGAATCAGGGGGCCTTAGTCAGTAGGTTCTAGGGTTTAGGGTTGAGAAAGGAGTTGGTGCCTTCTCCCTCAACCCCACCGTTACGCAACAATCGCGTGCAAAACGGTTTGTTCAAGCGAATGCGTCACGTGTCTGGGAAGAGCGAGCAACCTCCGCTCTTCCAAAGTCTTGCATCAGGCTCACACCGGAAGCATGGTGCGTCCCACTCAGCATTAGCAAGGTGTTGGGGCAATGTCGCACCTGGCTCAGGAAAGCAAATAGAACGCATTTCATGTAGCCGAAGTGCCTAGAACGTGCCCTAACTTCTCCATCCCAGACAGTTTGTGTAACATTGTGAACGGTAATGCACGGGCATCTGTGTTAGACAGTGAGAGAAGCCAACGCGTTTTTCGCAAGCTAGTGTGCGTAGAGCCACTGGGAGGCGACGCCGTTTTAATCCAGCGTCATTCTCGAATGCAAGCGAGGTGGTCAATCTGTAAAGTGGGGCACCGAACCCCATTTTTTGTGGAAGGGGGGGGGGGGCCTTTGGTTTTGGGACTTTGGGTTTCAGGGTTTGGATAGCTGTGTCAACGTTGGTATCCGATGCGCTGTTGAAGCACGAGTTTGGGGGTGAAGTAGACTTTGCTAGGCTGTTTTTGAAATTTGTTGGCAACGTATAATCTTAATTATCCTAAATGAGAGCTGGAGTACAGTCAGAGTCCGGTCACAGTTTCAATGGGCGAAAGCTGCTATAGTTCCCAGAAGGTCTCTAGGCACCATGTGGTTTGGGTTTCGGGGTTTAGGAGGGATTTAGGGTTTAGGATTTTGGCCTGTAGGGGCTTCGACGGCAGGAGACCGCTGCTCCGGATTTTCGACTAAAGCCAGCTGCTTGGCCGGATGTTTGGCCGTCCGAACCTTGAAACGCCTTGTAAATTTGAACGGGGCTGTGGGGTAATTTTGGTACGGTAAAATTATGAAAGGGACCATAGGGCATCAGATCATCAACTAATCCGAGCCTGTACTACTTGTAGGGTTCCTTCCCTAACTTTTTCAAAGCCCTAAAGCATCCGAAGAGGTCGACCTGTTTTGTGTCTATGGTTTGGCTGAGTTCAGCTCGTCAATCCCGAAGCCCATTCCGAAAGCATCCATCCAGAAGCAAATTTAGTGCGTCCTGACCCGATACCCCAAAACCCTATGAAGATTGACAAGTGGCCCCCAAATGTAATTCATTGTAGTCAGATAGGGCTTATGGGCCAGATACGGATCTGTACAGTGTGTTTCATTGTTTTCATATCCATGGGTTTTGATGGATATGCGAGTTTGGTGGCCTCTGTTTTTGAACAGCCGTGTTCATCATATAGAGGAACATCGGTCGGTCGATGGTTCGGTCGTTTGGATTTTAGGTGGCAGAGGATCGTTGCTTCTGGTGCTGTTGAGTTTAGGGGCTTGTCTGTGGAGGTTTGGGGGTTTTTAAAGAAATTCAGGATTGAGGCTGGATCTCTGAGCTCTAAACGCCTTGAGGAGTGGGTCTACGGCTACAACGGTGGCACAGTGGCCTCAGTACACTGGATTTCTGCAACTTGGCTTGCCGCTCACGGTTATCGCATGAAGCCCTACACACCCCCCCGTCGTGGGAATACGCGTTAAGTCATACACCGCTGCGTAGCATGACTTAAGGAGTATCGTGTCCCTTAAGCCCTTAGCCCTCAGCGCCCTAATGCGTAGAAGATAAGAAGGTTTAGGGTTGGGAGACTTGGGTCGGCACCTGTGTGCTTTTTGTGGACTTGAGGTTGACTTAGGGTTTAGGGTTTATCGTTGATGGTTTCAGGCAGACTTATGGCAGACAAGGCTTCCGGGTTTGGTTTTTAAAGTCCCCGAGGCCCAGAGAAACCTGACGAAGCCTGCAGGACGGTTGATCTTGCCGGGCCGGCAAACCAGGGTAGGGGTTTCTAGGGGTGATAGGCCCCTTGCATCGGCTTGTTTGCCTGAGTACGCATCCTGAATCCCGTACCCCTCGTAACTCTACCTTGCCCAAAAACCTTAGGGCCAGAACCTACAACTCCCTGCATGCTGCTTCTCTAAATTCCATACTAAATCCTACTCACACCTACATTACACAGCTGTGAGCCAAAGCGGATTCTTAAATCTCCTCCAACCCTAAACTATACACTCTCAATCCTAAACCCCAATACATGGCCCTCTTCGAAGTCAGGGTGGAGGTCTTCTTGGCTTCTGGGGTCCGCAATCGCGAGCTTTGGGGGTTTCTGATGTGTAGGGGCTTAGGGCCGGGGACTGTAGGTTTAGGGATCAGGAATTTAGGGCATGGGGACTACAGACAGGGTTTGGGAGGCTAGTGGTTGCTTTATTTAGGGGTGTAGCTAGGGTTGGTTTTCGAATCCTTTACTTGGCGATGCCGGCTGATATCCTAGGCACGGCATAGCCTGGCCATCTGCTCTACGCCTATCTTAGTACAGCCTAAACCCTAGTCAAATCCCAAAGCCCGTAACCTTGAACCCTAAACCAAGCCCGAAAGCCTGAACTATGCACCCGCGCTCAACCCTGATGTGCAGCTGAGGAGACGGAGTTCGTCTTCCCTGTCGCTGCCGTTGGTGTGGTCCAGTGCCTGGATCCAGCCGCTAGATCACAAAAAGACTTGGGATTTCTACGGCTGGAGATCGTTTCTTGTGTAGCAGCTTACAAACCCAAAGAAACCTTCAATCCGAATCCTCTAAACCTCCTGCTTGTTTTGAGGTTTGGGGTTGAACGCACCGAGCTCCAAACACCCCAAAAACCAAAGCCCCCAACCCGAAACTTTAACCATAAGCCCTCACGGCCTACCCCAGTAACTCCTGAACCCTACACCCCTAAAGCTCCAAATCCCAAAGTAACAGGCCCTAAACATCTCCAACCCCACCACCCTACACCCTAAGAGCCGAAACACTCCGGAAGAATCCCTTGAGCCTAAACCGTTTATCAGACCACACACCCGAAGCCCTGAACCTCTTGTCATGCCCCCTTAAAAGCCTAACAATCCTTAAACCGTACTGAGCCTAAAGACCCTAAGCATCCTGAAAACCCTAACAACCTTCAGCAACCCTAACAACCCAACAGCCCTAAGCCCTAAACCCTAAACCCTCAACCCTAAACCCTAAACCTTAAACCCTAAACTAAGCCCGGAGTTCAACAACGTGAAGTTTGACGTGTCGCCGAGGTTTCACAGCGCCACTTCATAGGACACAGCACCAGGACGGGCTTCAAGGTTTGGGGCAGGGCTTATAGGGTTATGGGTTTGGGATTTATTGTACAGGGTTCGGGGTGTTTGGTTTTGGGGCGAGGTCTGGGTATCTAGAATTTTCGACTACTTCGCAGTAGGGCTTAGTGCGAAGAAGCACATACAGGGCTGCATTTTTCGGGTTTACAACTTCATCATAGTTTTTCTGTCAAGGGGCCTTGCCTGTGCGGCTTGGAACTTCAGGAGGTTGGCTGTGATTCGGGCATGGGTCTCCTTCAACAGAACCGCAAACCCGAAACCCGCGTCAGCTCCTCCCAAGGCAGCACAAACTTCAGCAACCACGGGAGTCCACGGTTCTGGCTTCTGGTTTGGGTGTGCTAGGATCTCTAGGGCAGGCTTTGAAGCTTGGGGGGTTTTAGACCCTGTGAGTCAAAGAAAGAGTAAGCCTGCAAGCCTCCAAAGAGCCTCAAATGTCAAAGTCCTACCATGAGCCCCTACGCTGACTTCCAGAGCTAAATATGACCTGCTAAACCCTGAAACCCCTAGGCCCTGGTTCCCTAACCCTTTCAGAAAAGATCAGGGGACCGAGGAACTGAGGCACTCTTGTAAGACTAAGTCCCTTGATCCTTCAAGTGCCCGAAGAGCTATAATATAGGGGCCTTAATAATCAGCATAGGGTTTTTGGGCCCATTATGCTATAACCCCTCCATTACATTGGTAATAATTTTGGCCCCTATATGAGAGCCCATAGAGCAGGATCACGTGCCTGGCTTACAACCCGGCGCGGAAGCTCTGCGCCAGCGGGCAGATCACCCTGAAGGGTGGTGGAGGCCGCGCTTCGCGTGTTCTTCAAGGGGGTTCCATAAGGAATTAGGGTTTATATAGGGTTCTGCAACATCACACCCACAATGCCATAGTGCTTTCAAACCCCAGCCCAATCTAGACCCTATATAGTGAGATCCTTGTCAAAAGAAGTGGTAAGATCCCCAAGCAGGCCATAAGCGACACCCGCTTTTGGATCCTTTCGGCTAAAGAACCCAAACTAAAATCCAACAGCACAGGTCAGACCGCAAGCCATGGACCCCACCCCTGAATCCCTCAACCATGAAAGCGCCGAAGACCTAAACTCTACATTCCACACCCCGAAGCTCAAGCCCGTCAAGATCCCATACAGTTCCCGACAAGGGAAGCCTCAACGGGACACTGAAAAACACCCCCCAAAGGAACCCTGGAAAACAACCCCACGCAAACCCTGCAGCACCGCAGCCCTGCGAAACCATTATACAACCCTAAAGGAACCCTTTAGGGCAGCCTTCGCGGAACCCCTAAAAGATCCCTTCAAGGTACCCATACAGTAACTCTTCAAGGAACCCTTAAAGGAACCTTTGCAGGAACTGTTAAAGCAACCCAGGGCCCTTCGTCTGCCTCTGGCGGCCTGCAGATTGCATCCTGTTGTCCACTTTGCTTTGCGACAAGCACCAGGCCGTTTCGGGGGGTTTGAAGGGTACCTTTAAGGGTTCTGGTTCTGTTGCAGATTCGTGTAAGGTTTCTTTACGAGCATTTCTGGTTTAGGGTTTCGAGCTCATAGTTAAGGGTTCCATCCAGGGGTTTCTAGGGTTCGATCGGGGCATCACAGGGTTCCCTGGGGTTTCATAGGGCTTATGAGCTTGTGTTTAAAGCTTAAAGGTTCTACCACGGAATGAAGAAGCTGCACGAGTGCAGCTTTCGAGGATTGGGATTCAGAGTTTAGGATTTCGGGCTTGCTGGCATGGTGCACAGCAGCAGTGGACGTTATGCAACGTAGATGGGTCGAGTGCTCTGTGCTTTGCGACATGTAGCAATGGCCCGACACTGCTTGGAGTTAGTAAGTAAGGAAATAAGTCTTTTGAGTAGGGTTATAAGTAATTCTGGCTATTGTTACTTTAGTTATACCCCTAGTTACGAAGTCCCATGATCCTTGAAGTGGAGGGCCATCCTGCACATACCCCTCCCCTCAAGCGGCCAGACAACCAAGATCAGTTCTTTGTATAGTTTACCCCCCCCCACGCTGACTTGAACTTTTGTTCTGCAGCGCCACATGAAACCCTGAAGCTATATCGGGGTTTCCGAAAATAGGGGACCCTAATATAGTACCCTAAATACTAGGATCCTTATTATAAGGACCCCAAAATAAGGTATCCGTAATTTTCGGAAACTCCCAAAAAAACTGAACAGGAACCCGAAACCTGAGACCCTGAAGCCACTGAAGCTCTGAGGCGCAAAAGGCCTGAAGCCCTGAAGCCCTAGACGCCAAAGCTAAAGCCTTAAAGCCCCAATGCCCTGTGCAAGCCTCCAGAACTTAAGCCCCGTCTAGGGTTTAGGGTTGAGGGTTTAGGGTTTGAGGGTTTAGGGTTTAGGATTTGAGGGTTTAGGGTTTAGGGTTTAGTTTAGGAATTCAATCCCTGATAAACCCGCCATTCCTCCTCCTCCTCCTCGGGGCCCCCGGCGGCCCAGGGGCAAATATGCTCGCTTTGTTTGAGCCCCAGCGGCCGATTGCTTTTCAGCCTCGGTCGGGCCACTTGGCATCGTTTATGTTCCGTGGTGTTGGTTGCTTGAGTTTTAGTGTTTTTTTGGTTTTTCATCCAGCATGGTTCGGTTTATTTTGTTTATGTCTCAGACTCTTCATCTCAGGATCTGGGGATTCAGGGTTAAGGGATTTTGGGGTGTAGAGTGCAGGGACTGAGGGTTTAAAGTTCAATTGCCTAGCCGAGCCACCGACACTGCACATCGGAGCAACAGCAGGTGTGGACAGCAAATGCATCGCACTTGTGCTCGAAGATTTCAGCTGGTCCAGATCTGCAGGGTGAGTGTGTTGAAGACGACCATATGGAAGAGAGTCTTCGCACGTCTTTCGAAGCGGGTTCCGCAGGACGAAGTGAAAGTTGCAGCCATGACGGTCGCGCCGGCGCTCGCTGCATTCCAGGAGACTGGAACCAACTGGGGAATCGCTGCGGACAGAGAGGGGAGCTGCACAACCGGCCACGTCGAGGTGTTGCGGTTGCTCCGCCAAGGCGAACGTTGACTTGAGTGCAATGCCTGGGGCCACTCCTGCAATTTTTTGCCTCCGCCTTCCGTGGCACCTGGCGCGGTCTAGGAGAACGTCGGACTCTGACGTTCCGCCCACCCGTGCGCAGCTGCTCCTCAAGGCCAGGGGGCCCCCCCGGCCTCGAGGATCAGCTGGGCGGAGGAGGCACGGGTCCGATCTTCTTCGGCAGTGAGGCAGTTGCCTACAAGGTAGATTGAAGATCATCGGACTTAGTAACTCGGGTTATAAAGAATGTAAGCACAGTATACCTATAACTCCTTTTGGCTACTTACTAAGTCCCATGATCTTTCAATTAGAGAGACCATTTTCATGAAAGCAAGAGTCGTGACACAGAGAGCGTAGCTGCCGGTTGGATGGATGGGTTGACTCTGTCGGCGAAAGCCGTCTCAACTCTTGCTTTAAGGATCGCGGCGAAGCTGGGGGTTGGGATGCGAAGTACACTGATCGGGCTAGTCAAGTCGCCCCCTAAGCCCCAAATCCTAGGCCTGAAAGACACCCCGTAAAGAAAAATCCAAGAAACATAAGAACTTTACAAACACACTTTCTGCTACACCCGGTTTTCCTCGCTTGTTCTCGCCCCAGAAAGTCCTATAAGCCTCTATGGAGCCCTCTAGAGACCCAACACACCCCATACTATTGCAGCCACCCTAGATTCTGGAAGAAGCCCATAAACCTCGAACGAGTCCCCTCAAGCCCCTAAACCCTAAACCCTAAGCCCCAAACCCCCAGGACAGCAGCCACACCCTGGTCTTGTGGGACAACTTCGTGCCACCCACGGACGACCCGCTCGCTCCTGCTCCCAGGGAGCTTCCGGCCGCTCGGTTGGGCTCTTAAGGGTTCCTTAAAGGGTCCCTTAAAGGGATCTATATGGTTCCTTACAGGGATCTATAGGGTTTAGTTTAGGGTTTAGGGTCTACTTAGAGGACCATGGGACTTAGTAAGTAAGGTTATAAGTACCCTAATTGGGGTTAACTATAGCTACCTTACTTATAACCCTAGTTACTAAGTCCCAGGATCCTCCAAGTAAGGGCTCCTTAAAGGGTCCTTTCCGAGAATGTCTACGGGCGCTTTTCGGGAATCCTTCAAGGGCTCTTTTAAAAACAGGGAATCCTTCAAGGGTTCCTTTTGACGGGATCTAGAGGTTCGAGTTTAAGTTTAAGGATGGGCTGAGGTTGAGGGTTTCGAATGTAGGCTGCTTCGAGGGTTCGGTTCTAGAAGCGATCTATACGGGTTCGATGGGGCTTCAATTCTAGGGTTTATTGTTCAGGGTTTCAGGGCTTCAAGATTTTTGGTTAAGCTTTATTGGGTTTTAAGTCCTTTCTAAGACTTTAGGATTTGTTTTTGTTCACGGCTAGAGCCTTCAAAAGCCTGCTAGCGAAAACAGTCATCTCGGGTAGTGTTTGAAAGTTTGGTGTTTCCGTACAGTGTGAACCTTAAGCAACCAACCCCTAAACACTCGGTCATTTTTCACTTGAACTGTATGTCCTGGAGGACGAATGGCAAAGCCTGAAGTCCAAAGCCGAAACCAATCGATGACGCTTGAAAATCCGGTGAAAATCCGCTCCTAAAGCACTATATCCTCAACCCCTAAACCCTTAAACCCTAAGCCCCAAAACTCAAAGCCCTACACCCTAAATACTAAACCCTAACCCTGAGCACCGTGGTCCTCTGCCCCGCCTCCTGCGCTTCGTTGGGCTCTGCTTCAGGTCGTCTTTCGGAGTCCGATCCAGAAGGCTCCACCCGGGCTCACAGTCTCGGGCATTTATAGTTGTTTTGGCGTTTGGGTTTTGGGTATTGGGCTGTTTTGGGTTTAGGTCTTCGGGTTTCGTGGGTTGTGATTGTGTTCTTAACTAGCTTGAAAGATCAGCACATATCAGTGGTGATTGTAGAAGAGCGCTGGCAAAGTACTCTGTTGCTTATTCTATTCATCTTCAAGTTGCTTCTCTTTCGAGCCATGGAGGATTCACAGTGCTTTCTTTTTTCAGCGGCGTCATCGCCGAGTGCAAACCTCCCTGAACCCCAAAAGCCCGAAGCAGCTAACGTGCAAAGATCCCATCCGCATGCGTCCAAAATCAATTAACTTTCTAGCAGCCCCAGCAGCTCTAGAAAGCCCTCGTTACATGCTTCCTTCTGTAGTTCTGTGCTTGGCCGACTGGTAAGGATTACTGGCACGATCATGATAACAATAACGATTGTAATCATTGTTGTGTTTATTGTTGGTATTACTCCTCCTCCTCCTCCTCCTCCTCCTCCTCCTGTTGCTGCTGCTGCAGCAAACAACAACTACTATTACTCCTGCTACTACTACTACGACGACGACTACTACTACTCTTGATATTATGGTTATTATTGCTGTGATTATTGTTGTATTTTGAAGGTGCCCACCGGTCAAGTGCCGGCCTTCGGTATGTCGGCCATGAAAACCACCGTTAAGTCCCTCTTCCACTTCGTGATCTACGACGGAGGCCGGAGGATCCAGAACTGTGAGGGTTTGGGGTTGAGGGTTTAGGGTTTAGGGATTGCACTTAGGGTTTTGTGCTTAGGGTTCGGGATTTGGGGACTGAGGGTTTAGGTTTTCGGGATTCTTCGATTCAACTCGAAGCCCTCTTTTTTGAGGCCGTGGCTGCTTTCGAAGGTTCAGCAGTCTGTAGTTTTGCTTGAAAGGAGAGAAGAATCTGCCATGTCGGTCTGTGTCAACGTGAGTCTCTTGAGTGGGAGAACCGTGCAGATCAGAAGCAGAGGCCATCGCACCATAGGTGAGCTGAAGCACCAGGCGCAAAATGCGTTGGAAACTGGAAACGGCAGACTGGTGAATATGTCTGGGCAGGGGCTTCGAGAGGAAGCTGAACTCGATCAAGCTGGTGTGAAGAATGGGGATTCCTTGATGTTGCACATTCGGCAGATGTCCCTGGTTGGCACGCAGCCAAGTTTCAGTCAACTTTGCAACCATGGGTCTTTCCAGCATAGTGCTTTCGCTGCGATCCTGGGTGATGGATCCGTTGCGAGCTGGGGAAGTGTCGTGAAAGCTGATGGCAGCAGCTTTCCACAGGAGCGGCTGAAGGACGTGTTGCAGATCCAGGCCACAAAGCACGCTTTTGCTGCGGTCCTCAATGATGGATCCGTCGTGACTTGGGGCAACCACGTGTGGGGTGGTGACAGCAGCTCCGTCCAACATAAGCTAAATGCCGTGCAAAAGATCCAAGCCACACATGGAGCCTTCGCGGCGATCCGGAAAGATGGATCTGTCGTGAGTTGGGGCCATGCTGATTGGGGTGGTGATAGCAGCTCTGTCAATAGTCGCTTGAAGGAAGTCTTGCAGATCCAGGCCACAAACCTCGCCTTCGCTGCAATCCTCGCAGATGGATCCGTCGTGACTTGGGGCAACACTACATGGGGGGGCTGCAGCAGCTCTGTCAGGGCACAGTTGACGGGAGTTCATCAGATCCAGGCCACCGCTGGTGCCTTTGCTGCGATCCGGAAAGACGGATCTGCTGTGAGTTGGGGTGCCCGCGATTGGGGTGGCGATAGCAACTTTGTCAAGGAGCAGCTGAAAGGCGTGCAGCAAATCCAGGCCACCTACGGTGCGTTCGCTGCAATCTGTAGTGATGGATCCGCAGTGTGTTGGGGCAATTCCGACGAGGGTGGCGACAGCAGCTCTGTCACGGAACAGCTGAAGGGAGTGCAGCAGATCCAGGCCACAAACCGCGCATTCGCGGCTATCCTCGGAGACGGATCTGTAGTGAGTTGGGGCGATGCTGATTCGGGTGGTGACAGCAGTTCTGTCCAGTGGCAGCTGCAAGCCGTGCAGCAAATCCAGGCCACGTACAGTGCGTTCGCTGCAATCTGTAGTGATGGATCCGCAGTGTGTTGGGGCAATTCCGACGAGGGTGGCGACAGCAGCTCTGTCACGGAACAGCTGAAGGGAGTGCAACAGATCCAGGCCACAAACCGCGCATTCGCGGCTATCCTCGGAGACGGATCCGTCTTGAGTTGGGGCAATCGTCAGGGGGGTGGTGACAGCAGTTCTGTCCAGTGGCAGCTGCAAGCCGTGCAGCAGATCCAGGCCACGTACGATGCCTTCGCCGCAATCTGCAACGATGGATCTGTCGTGAGTTGGGGTGATTGTCGTGGAGGTGGTGACGGCAGCTCCTTGCTAAGGCAGCTGAATGCTCGGAAGCAGATCCATATGCAGTCTCCGAGAGTCATCGACAGTCCAGATGATGCTATGGAAACGCTGTGGAGGACAGTCGCGCAATTTGCGATGAATCCATGCATGGTGCTGTGTGATCGTAGCTTCCTTGGCCTCAGACGTTTTGTGTTCGGCATCCAGGCTGATCTCTTTTCGAAGGTGGCAGGTGGCTTGCACGCAATCTCACCCTGTAGCCAAGCAGCAAAACTGCAGCTGGCAAAGCCGGCAGCAGACAACACTGCTCTCGCTGTTCGCTCCTGTCCTCAGCCTGGCAGTAGAGCCAGGCGTAGTATGATGCCATGCCTTGAGATTGCGTGGTCATTGCTTTGGGCATTGCTTGTCACGTTAATGGTGGTTGTACCGTCATTGATCGGATCATGCGTGCCGGTCTTGTTGAAACCTGAACAATGAGCACCTGTCGAAAAGTCATGAAGTCTGGGTTTGAAGTACCGACCAAGAGGCATATCTCAGGACTGTACAGATATATAGTAGACACGTGTGCATCCACAGTATGTGTGTGTGTGTGTGCAGTCTTTCGGTATATGATAGCCTGATAGCGTATATGTTGTGTGTATATGTATGGAGGTTGGTCTCTGTGTGTGCATATATATATATTGTATGTATATGCTCTCTCTCTCTCTCTCTATATATATATATATGTATACACATCGTAAATAGGTATTTGATGTCTAGTTACTGGTTGTTGCACACGTCTCTCTGAACCCCTCCTTCTACAGTGCTCTTGCGAGAGAAAGCGAGTGGAAGGCCTGGAGCCACGGTTCGGTGTTCTGTTGAAGTTCTACAGCTTGAATGCGAGCTTGGTGACCTGCCAGCATTGATTTTGAAAGCTGTTAGAATTACAGAATTTTATACGGCTTGTCCATAGCGTTTGTCCAGCGCTAGTATAGGGTGGGCTTCAGGCTTTTAGATTTTACGATGTTCTGCGAGTGATTTTTTGTGGCGAAGGGTTTCCTGCTTGAGGGTGGATCAGTTTCTCCTGGTTACTTCCACACAAGCCTCGTTGACACTGCAAAGAACATCCTAGGAAGGCTTATGCAAAGCAGGATCTCTTCGAAGTTTATGGAGCCCAACCGTCAAGCCTAATCTCGAAAAGCTTCGCAAGCCAATCCTTAAACCCAAATTGCCTAAATCCTTCAATTGACACTTGAATCCTCAACCTTCCTTGAAGCCTAAACCCAACCACTGAGGAGCTGAAGTGCAATGCAGCAATCTTCGGCGACCCGGCGCCGCGGCAAGTGCCCTCGGAGCAAGAGCAATGTCTAGCGTCAATGAAAGTTTCTGTGTAAATCAGGGCTTTAGGATGTTGTCTAAGGGTGTTGTTGAAATCCAGGGTTTAGGGTTTCGACGCTTGAGGGTGTAGGGGATTTGGCCTTTAAAGACCTTCAAAGGGAGAGGGCTTCGAGGCTTCAGGGCTTCGCGGTTCAGGCGTCAGGGTCTAGGGTTAGGGTTTCAAGTTTAGGGCTTTGGGATTAAGGTTTGGGCATTTACTTGGAAAAAGGTGATTTAAGCAAACTCTAAACCCAAAGCCCTACCTACTTGCAAGGTCGGAGGACCTAGTAAGTGGAGTTATGGTACTTGGAACTCTACAGACTAACTCACGAAGTCCTGCGACCCTCCCTAAACCCTAAACCCCAAGATCTTTGAATGAGCTCCGGCTGCGGAGACCTCTGTGTTCAGATTCACAGAGCTACCTCGAACTACCGAAACCTGCTTTCTTTTGTAGGTCCCTATACAATCCATATCACGGCTTATACTTACATTACTTTTCTGTAGGGTCCCTATACATCCTATACCAGGGTTTATACTTACAAATAGAATCTACGAAAAGCTATTTCGAGGATCATGGGAAGAAGACACTAGGGTTATGAATGAGGTAGCTAGGTTTAGGGTGTAGGGCTTTACCTAGAACTCCAATTGGGGTACTTATAACCTTGCATACCAAGTCCCATGGTCCGACAAGTACGTGTAAGGCCACAGGCTCAGACTTACGTAATTTTCATCGGAGAACTGGCGCCGGAAAGTGGAAAGGATCTTCAACAAATATGTATAGCCTGCCCTCCCCAACCACTACTACAGTTGCTATAGGTCTTGATTCCCTTTTCGTAGAACGTGTACTCAGGGTTGATCTCTTGCCACTTCTGGTGTGCAAGTTCCGGATGCATGGGTATTCCCTCAAGTCCATGAGATCGGCTGATTGTCTTGGGGCTCCGGATGAACTTTTCGTCCTAGCTGCGGACCCGCCTTCATTTCGATCCGAAATCTCAGAGCAGGTTGGCTGTGACTGCAGGGTTCGTCTACCGAGCGAGAGTTTTCGGTATTCGCTGATGAGGTAACCCAATACAGAATGAAACCCTCAGCTCCACACCTTACAATCCCCGACCCTACAACGCTCCTGTGCAGACAAAGCCCGATGCCGAGCGTTTCGCTGAGGTCTTGTTCTGCTCCTGGACATCCGATGCTCGCTGCCTTGCCTCCTGCGACAATGGGTACCTCTACATCTTCGAGGCTGTTAAGCTAGTGCCCCGATGACCCAAATCCGAAACCTCTAACCTTGAACCCTACACCCAATACCTTCAACCCTATAGGCCCTGGACTCTAGTCTGTAGACCCTAACCCTGTAAATTCATGTGCAGATTGCTCTTCTCCGTTGTGTCATGTGAGTGTGCAGTGAAGCCAGCAAACATCCGCTGGCATGCGGCCCAAATGCAGGGGCCCCTTGAGTTCACTTTGTTACGCAGATGATGACAGCGTGGAAAAGCGCAGTGCTGAGCAGCTTATAGGCGTTTGCTTAGCAGCTGAGAACCACCTGTAATCACAGGTGGTAGCGGAGCTGCTGGTTGAGCATGCCAGGCGGCGGAGAGATCCAGGGGAGCCAATCGCAGAGCTCTGCACCGAGTCAAGGCGCCATCTGGAGAGATCGGGATCCACCCCCGACGTTTGATGGGAGAAATCCCGATCGTGCTTATCGCAAATGGAAGAAGGAGCTTGACCTTTGGAAGTTTGAGACGGAAGTCCCCAAGGCGAAGTGGGGAGTGAAAGTCTGGCGCCAACTCGAAGGCTCAGCGCGAGCTGTGGCGGACGGACTGTCGTTCGAAGAATTGGCATGTGAGAAAGGTCTTGAGAACTTGCTGAAGGTGCTGGAAGAGCACTACTCTCCTCATCTGGAGACGTCGCTGCCGAAGGCCTTTGAGGATGCGGTCTACGGCAACCTCCGATCCCACAAGGAAACCTTTAGTGACTATGTCATCCGGGTGGAGCATGCAATGAAAGAGTTGTCACGCCAGGGCGTTGAGTTGCATGACATCGCGGTTGGCTATGTGATGTTTCGGCATGCAAACCTTTCGGATGTGCAAGAGAGTCAGATGTTGACTTGGGGTGCTGGCAAGTATGACAGGAAGACCGTGGTGACCAATCTTCGTCGATTAGACAAGGGCGCTTTTGATCTCAAGAAGAAGTCGGCCCACTACTTGACTGAGGGCGACGACGAGGCTGAGGACCCTCACGGCGAGATGGCCGAGATCTACCACCAACAGGAGGACATCGCGGACTCCGACCTCGATGAAGAGTACGTCTACATTGGAGAAGAGGACTTGAAAGAGATCTATGAGGAGGAGCACGTGATGGAAGCCTTGGCGACGTACCAGGACATCCGGAAGTCCATCAGAGATCAACGAAATAGCAGAGGCTACTTCCCCACCGGGAAAGGCGGCAAGCGAGATCACGGAAAAGATCGTGGGAAAGGAGTGGGCAAGCAGAAGCCTGTTCTTGATATCAAAGGAGCTCCGAGGAGCCCCATGAAGTTCAGTGGGAAAGGCACCAAGGTCCATGTGGACCTCTTGAAGCTTCGCACAAAATGTGCCAGATGCGGAGTGGTAGGGCACTGGGCCCGGGAGTGCAGAAATCCGCCAGATGAACGTGGCCGTATGTCCACCCACCGTTCGGCACCCTCGACTACTCAGTCGTCTGTTTCCTCACCCTCCGCGCGTTCGGGCTTTTATGTTGAGACCTCTCCCGCTGACCGTACGGACTCCCGCAGCTTCTTTGGCGAAAACAGGTCCGACTGCTACATGTCCTACATTCCTACGTTTGGTCGCCTTATGTTCTCAGTGGTTGGGAAGAGCGCTAACTAAAACATTGATTGACAAGCCCCCGGCAGAGAATCCCGAGTCCTTTGTTGGTGAAACCACCACCGCCGGCGAAGGCATCGTCGACACCGCGGCCCAGGACGGCTTGGTCGGCAAGGCGGCATTGCTACAGATGACAGAGGCTTTGCGCAGCTTTGGTCTTCAGATAAGGTGGAACACTCAGAAGAAGGCTCAGGCAAGTGGTGTGGGAGGCAAGGCAAAGGTGATAGGCATCGCCGAAATTCCCATTGGCATCGCTGGAGTGAATGGTCTTTTAGAAGTGACTGTGGTGCAAGACAACGTGCCCTTGTTGCTTCCGATAAGACTACTTCGTCAACTCAGGGCAGTCGTGGATTTGGACCGCGACGTACTCCAGCTCAAGGCCTACGGGGTTGAAACACCGATGCACAGTTTGCCCTCAGGACACATGTCAATTTCTGTGACTTCGTATGCACCAGAGGGTTGGAGCTTGCCGCATGCTGCTGCCTCACAAAGTTTGAAGCATGATGAGTATGTGCTCATGACCACCGGGTTTCTCAACCAGAGCATGTATCCTCTCGAGGGTAGCAGTGTGAAGACTCTCAAATTCGACATCGGTGACGACAATGGCGAACCTACTCCTGCACCGGATGCTGGACCAGAGGACGAGGGACGAGCCGATGCGTCCCGGAGGACTGCCAGCTGCTGTGCTACGCAGCAGAAGGGCGATCAAGAGGTGGAGGTGCCTGGGAGATCGCATGTGCGACCTGATGCACCTTGTGAATCTCAAAACAAGGGTCTCCGAATGGCTGCCCGATGGGTCTTTGCGGCTCTTGGGGCTGGGAACCTTGCCGGCGCCGGATACCAGGTCACCTACTACCCCTCCGGCATCCTCTTCGACGCCCACCGAGAAGCATTTGGAGTATGCCCGGGTGATCAAAGTAGCACCATACCTTGGTCTACGCAAAACCAAGGATGCCCCGACGGTTACGATGGCGGAATGCACCCACCCGGTGCACGAGCTGAAGGGAGCTGGCAATCAATACTCCAAGGAGATTTGGTGCGGCAAGTGCAAGGCGAGATGGGAGTACCTCAATCCGGAGAAGTTGGCGCAGGCGGAGATGGAGATGAATATGGCGGCGAAGAACTCTCCGCTGGTGGACAACACGAGCATGGCCCGAGGATCCGAGGAGCAGCTGGTGGTGTGCAATTGCAAGAACCCAGCAACGAGGTGGGAAGTACGGAAAGCGGGGCCAACCCAGGGGAGGCACTTCTACCGGTGCCGTCGACGCCTTTGCGACTTCTTCCTGTGGGACCCGAGAGAGCAAGAGAGAATCAGGAGTGCCGGGCAGATGAGGAGCCACTTCAGATGGAGGTGGAGGCGAACCGCGAGAGTGCCGAGGAGGTGAGGAACCAGATGGAGATCGCGATGAACACGCAAGCGGCGGCTCACCAACGGGAGCTGGAGGAGCTTCGGACGCAGCTCGCATGGATGCAAGGGTTCGCACAGCAGTGGCAGATGGCTCAGAATCCGGAGATGGGATCGGTGGATGGCTTTCAGATGGTTCAGGATCCCCAATGACGAGGACCGGGTTGCCATCAGAAGTGGGTCCTGAGAACAGTTGCTTGGTGAGCACGGGACCACAGCTACGCCGGGCAAGGCGAAAGCAGATGCAGGCATTTTGCTTGCATGCCCCAGCGCCGTGGATGATGTCTTTGTCAAGAGATTACTATGTTTGGGATGATTCTAGCAACAGTTGGATGCATCAATGTGGTTGGTTACCTCGTGAATTACATGATCGTAAGTTCTTGGCAGTGTTTGATGATTTGCAAAGCATGACGATGTGGAGTGATCATTGTGGGAAGCTCAAAGCTTTGACTGCTGGCGAGAAGAAGAAGTCTATGAAGGCTTTGGAAGATGCGACCAAGGCCAGCAGCCCCACAGTCGGCTATGAAGTGCTGGAGGCGGTATCACCTGCAACAATTAGTTGTTTTGTTGAGTATGACAACGCGATGGCCAATTGGGATCCGTGTTGCTCAAACCAGTTTTGGACCGAGTTGAGAAACCGAAGCCCTAACTTGCTGATCCTGAGTTGGCAGTTGAAGCGGCTGAGTGGCAACACGCTCAAGGCAAAACCTTTGCAGTGATGTGCTCCAAGGTTTCCGAAGAAGTCGAGAACGACCTGTGGAACGTTGGAGACGGCATGGTGCATGGAATGCTTCCTTCAGAAGAGCATGTGTGGAGCAACGACCACGAGTTTGCAAAAAGGCTGTACCACGTCATGAGTGAGGACCGGGTGCTGAACCACGAGGACACCAACGATCTTCAACAGAATTCCAAGGCACACCAGTCCGTGGAGTGTGAAGTCCACTCAATCTGTGACGTGAGCAAGGAGCAAATGCCGGAGCCTTTAGAGAATCAGTCTGTTTTCCACGAGGACACCGACGATCTTCAACAGAATTCCGAGGCACACCAGTCGTTTTTATTAGATGTGTGTCAGGAGCACGGGGGTCCTTTATCGTTTGATGTGTGTCAGGAGCACGGGGGTCACCGAAGCCAGGTCTACATGACTAGAGCAATGGCCAAGGAGACTGAAGAACGGGCACGACATCTACTACAACAGAAGGACTTCTCTATGACAACGTTGGAATCGGTGCTGAACTCACTTCCTCTACTACAACCAGGAGGACGAAAAAGCGCCATGAGTGGGAGCTATTTTTCATTGGGCTTGTATGCGCATGGCAATCACTACGGCACCACGAAGCTTGTCGAGATGCTGCCTAACCTGACATCCTACATCAATGAAGTTATGAAGTACCAGTGCAAGTGTCAAGGTATGGGGCAAGCTACTTGGACCTCGATCGCAGTGGGACAGAATGCCGGAAGCTATCTTCACAAAGACCACCACAACTGTCCGAAGACCTCCAACTACATTTTCAGCTTGGGCAAGCACAAGGGAGGAGGACTATGGACCGAAAGCAACGATGCCGAACGCGAAGGCAACCGCCGTGTGGTTTGGAAGAAGCTCGACAATGGCAAGTGGGTTCAAGGAAACGTCAACGACATTCACTACAAGATGAACAAGTTTGACCCCAAAAGGTGGCATGGATCCGAAGAGTGGTCCGGACGACGGTTTGTGGTGAGTGCCTTTACGTCAAGAGCACTTGACCAAGTTGACCCGCAAAAGCTCAACGAGTTGAAAAGGCTTGGTTTTCCCCTACCTCAACGGAACTTCGTCTACATGTACGATGGCTCCAAACAAGAAATGGACCAGGTGGGCTCTGAGGTCTATGTGGGAGAAGATGATGGAGAACCGGTCGGAGATGACTTACCTGATGGTGATCTTGATCCACCGGATCCAGAAGCAGCGGCACAGGATCCGAACTCCGAGCTGGAACCCTCCCAAGAGGAAAAGAGGCTTCTGAGAAAGCTTCATGAAAACATGGGCCATCCGGCGCCAAGAGAACTGGCAAAGTCTTTGAGGATTGCCAGGGCAAAACCCCACTTGATAAGGTACATGGCGACGAAGTTTGCATGTGAAGTGTGCAATGCCAAGCCCAAGCCCAAACCGAGTCGACCAGCAGTCTTGCCCAGGATGTATGAACCCGGAAGAGTTGTGGGCGTGGACGTGATCTTCCTCAGTGGCCTGGATCGCAGACAGAGCTTCCCTGCTCTAAACATTGTGGACTGGGGAACAGGCTACTCTATGGTGGAACGACTCAAGAACACGGAGGCCACCCACACCTGGAGAACCTTCCAGAGAACATGGGCGAGGACCTTCGGAATTCCAGATGTGATTGTGGCTGACTTGGGAACCGAGTTCAGAGGGCAGTTTGCAGAGTTGGTGGGACAGTCAGGAGCCCTGATTCGCCACACTGCGGCGAGATCTCCCTGGCAAGCTGGAAAAACCGAACGGGCAGGTGCTCACTACAAGCAAGTCTATGACAAGGCCCGGGATTCCACCTTTGTCAGTTCGTGGGAGGAGATCAAGACGTTGATGTATGAAGTTGAGAATGCGCGCAATAGATACGGGAATCGAAGCGGCTTCAGCCCTATGCAGCGGCAAATTGGGCACAACCTGCGACTTCCAGGTTCTCTTCTTCTCTCGGATGATCACTTGGACCCGAGTCTGGTTATTGCAAGTTCGGGAGATGAAATGAGAAGAGTGCTAGAAATCAGAAAGGCTGCTCAAGAAGCCTACATCAAGTCCCAGACGGAGACGGCGATCACCCGAGCCAAGAACGCCCGGACCCGCATTCCCATTGAGTTTCTGCCGGGTGAGACGGTGTATGTGTACCGACAGCCGAGAGAGAGGAAACGGCGTCATGTAATGACCCCAGAAGCTCATGAAGGCCGAAAACCTTCTTGGGTTGGTCCTGGAGTGGTTTTGGCGGTGGAACAGCCAAGCTTGTGGGTTTCAATGAAGGGCGAGCTGTGGAAGGTCAGTCGAGAACAGTGCAGGCATGCTACCAGTGAGGAACAGGTGGCGAAGGAGATGTTGGCTGATGAAATGGAAGCTCTACGCGAGGAGCTGGGGAGGACCTCTATGAAGCGAACCTACCGCGACATGACAGAGGAAGGTTTTCCGCCTGGTGAAGACGATGCGCATGATGATGGCGGACAACCTCCTGATGATCCTCCCGACGATGAACGGCCTGCTAGACGAGCTCGAGTACAGGATTCCGCTCAAGTTCCGGTACCAGATGACGAGGAGCTAGATTATTCCCCATCCTTGGACGTGGAGGAAGATGCTCTGTTACCTGATGTACTACAAGCACCACCCACCGAACCCTCAGGTGATTTTCAACGAGTGAGGACTGAGTCAGAACCTGAACCTCTTCCAACTCCTCAGCGAGCCTTGACTCCCGAGACTGCGAGGTCAGTGCAACGTAACGAGGAGCTGGACGGGAACTTCAAAAGCCCCTCATACAGAGCAGTGAGAGAGCTTGCAGACCGAAAGCCCGTTAACAACCCGTACTTTGTGGAGTCAAAGTCTGAACAAGGGCAACGGGGATGGTTCTACTTTGAAGAGGGCAAGTGGAAGTTCGAGAAGGATGAGTGGGAGTTTGTGAATCCGAACGTGATCATTCGACGCCATCACCTACCTCGAGATCGCCTATGTAACCCAAACAAAATTAAGGGAGTGCTTATGCCACGAAGGTTGAAGCACCGACAGTCCTACATGGTCAAGGACGATGGCTCTGTTGAGAAAACAACAGATTTGTGGTTCAAAGAGCGGAAGAAGAATGGAAAGACCCCGACTTCATGGGTTGGTTTTACGGTGTTTTCCAACAAGGAGGTGAACCTCGAAAACTACCTGGCGACAAAGGCTCGTGGACAAGGAGAAGTCTTTGAGCACGAGATCACTCCGGAGGAATGGCCAGCATGGCAGAAGACAGATCGAAGCGAATGGGACAAAGTGGTGGAAACTGGAGCCATTCGTGTGCTGGACCTAGAGAGGTCTTTGGAGATCCGCAACGGCCCGGAGAAGGGCAGGATCATTCCATCACGTATGGTGAGGCGCTGGAAACCGGGGGAGCAACCAGGTGACCCGGAGACCATGAAGAGCAGGTGGTGTTTGCGTGGTGACCGTGATCCAGATTTGTTGGATCTTGATCGGCATGCGCCGACACTGAACACGACCTCCTTCGGCGTCTTGTTACAGATCGCGGCCAGTATGCGATACAAGGCAACCATTGGTGATCTCAAAAATGCCTTTTGCCAGAGTTTGCCGTTAGTGCGCAAAAATGGAGCACTTTACGCCAGTTTGCCTCGAGGAGGAATCCAAGGGCTTCATGAACTACAACTGGTGGAAATAGTGGCAGGAGTGTACGGTTTGGGGGACTCTCCCAAACACTGGCGACGCACTCTACGCGAAGCCATACTTGGACTGGGATACCGCGAATCAGTCATGGACCCCACTGTGTACTTTCATCAGTCACGAGGTGCTTTGGACGGCGCCATTGCGGTTGAAGTGGACGACTTGTTCACTTTTGGCAACGATGTCCACAGTGAGAAGATGAAGCAACTGCAGCAAAAGTTCAAGTTTGGCAAGTACGAAGATGTGATGCTGGCGAAAGACGGTGTTGGTTTCAATGGCCGAAGAATCCGTCAAAAAGCAAACTTTATTTGAAGTGGATATGCACAAGTTTGTCTGTGAAAGACTGAACCCAGTGCAGCTGAGCAAAGGACGTCGTTCAGAACCAAAATCGCTGGCCAACGACAGTGAGATCAACCAGATGCGAGCAGTCATTGGTGCACTGAACTGGCTAGCTAAAGAGGGACGACCAGACGCAGCGGCAGCAGCGTCTCTCGGAGCTAGTACCTTTCCACGACCTGTGGTACAGGACCTGTTGGACGTGAATGCCGCGGTCAAGCTGTTGAAGGAGAGGCCCGAGTTGACCATCCGCATTCGGAACATTGACATGGAGCGACTTTCTTGGGGTGTGATTTCGGACGCGAGCTTCGGGAACGCCCATGCGGGACACAGCCAAGGAGCCTATGCTGTCCTGGCTTTCGATGAGAAGCTCAAAGAGGGCTATAGAGTTCCATGCTAGAAAGTGGTGAACTCCACTTTGGCAGCAGAGACTCAGAGTTTGAGCAAAGGGCTTGGAGAGTTGAGTTGGATCGTGACTTTGTTCAACGAGCTCACCGATGTGAACTTCGAGCTTGTGGAGTGGGAAGAAAGACTTAAGAAAAATCGCATGATTGCGATGGCCCCAGACAGTTCAAGCGATGGACTAAAGTCGAGCCTATGCATCATCGACGCGAAGGCCCTGTTCGACCATCTGTCGAGAGAGACGACAGGCCCATCCCAAGACAAGCGGACGGGACTGGAGATCCAAGTGGTCAGGCAACACATGAACGCCATCGGCGGTGAAGTTCGGTGGATTCCCCATCCACAGATGATTGTGGACGGCCTGACGAAGAAAGGCTCAAACATGAAAGCCTTGTACGAGCTCCTGGACAATGGCGAGTTTCAGATCGTTGATATGGCGGAGGCTCTCGAAGAGAAGCGAAAGGAGCGTGAACAGCTCGGTTACAACAAGAGATGACACAACTTCGAACAGAGTTCGGGGAGCTGTAAATTCATGTGCAGATTGCTCTTCTCCGTTGTGTCATGTGAGTGTGCAGTGAAGCCAGCAAACATCCGCTGGCATGCGGCCCAAATGCAGGGGCCCCTTGAGTTTACTTTGTTACGCAGATGATGACAGCGTGGAAAAGCGCAGTGCTGAGCAGCTTATAGGCGTTTGCTTAGCAGCTGAGAACCACCTGTAATCACAAACCCTTTAGACCCAACAAAGGGTCCGCAACCTAAAGCTGAAATCCGGCGCGCCGAGATCCTTCAACCAGCCAAGCCCAAAGCCCAATCGCTACCTTAAGGGGGGCCTTATCACTGCCCTTGTAGTAACCTCTTATAGTAACCCCTATAGTATCCCTTAAGGGGGCCATTGTAGTAACACTTGTCGTACCCCTTATGGGATCTTCCTTCTACTTGAGCTTCAACCTGCTAGCAACACACACCCTGATAAGGAAGCCTACAAGGACCCTACAAGGGTTTAGGGTTTAGGGTTTAGGGTTTAGGGTTTGCTCTCTGGGTTCCAGTCCTGGGCTGCAAGCCCTACCAGAACCCTCAACAACCTACCTTTTCAGGGTGACGATGATTTCTCGATAGAAGTCCTTGGGAAGGTAGGCTCTCTCAGCTCTAAGCATGAACCTGCAGCCCTTCAGCATATTCATTTTGCGATCTCCATATTTAAACCGAATAGTAGGAACGGGTACCCCTACTACTGAGGAAGGCCAGGAATTCTTACAGGAAACCAGGAAGGCAACCTGAGCTGTGCTTAAACCAGAAGCCCGAACCCTGAGCAGGGCTAGGAGGATGTTGGGTTCGGGTACGGCTTAGAATCAGACTCTTAGAACGGTTCACACGGGGATCGTATGAGGGTTCTTGCTGTGTTATTTTCGGTTCTGATGTTGTTTTTTTGTCGGAGTCTTATTGGGTTTGGGTTTAGGAGTCGGGCTTATAGGTGCCCTCTTTGGCCAGGGCAATGCCGCTATCAGCAGCCAGCGCATCAGTGCCGCAGCTGCAGCTGAAGGAGGATAGGGCGGATGAGGGATCAGGGTTGAAGGACAAGAAGGGTTCAGGGGTTGGGGTTTAGGGGTCAGGGATTCGGATATGTGAAATGCTCATATCATGACGGTGATGATGATGTTCTGTAATTAAACCCTAGCCCGCAACTAGATAAGCCCCGCACCTCCAAACGTGCAAATTCCGATGTAACAAGCCCTCAGAGCTCCCAAAGCACGAAGCTTGAGGCCATAGAGCAGAAATCCCACAAGGCTCCCAAGCTCGCATATTTGTTATCTTCGTCCGCCCGAGACACGTCGTACATCATCGCAGCATTATCCGCTCCAACACGGACGACTTGCAGAGCGACATGTCAGTAAGGTTCCGTGTCAAAGAGCACAGAAGGATCATGGCATCAACCAGCAACTCTAGATCTGAAGTTCTAGTCGAGACTCCAGGATGAAAGGATGTAGTGGCAGTCGCCGGCTCACTCCGGAACGATTCGTTTTTTGGAGACCCTCTGGGCAAGAGCTGGCTGTCGAAAACACAGCGACGTTCGAGGATGCAATGGCTTTGAAGCAGTATTTGTGCCAGGTATATGGTTTCCTGTGTATTTGCAGCAGTTTTTACAGCGTGACAGAGTCCTGGCTGATGATGCCATGGTGGAGGCCCACATGGATTTACAGTTGGTGCTGCTGACGACCTCTGGCTGTCCTGCAAATCTGGATATCCCACGTTCGGCATCAGCAGATCTTGCCACTGCTGCTCGACAGAATCGTGTTGATAGGATCCACTGTTTGCTGGAAGCTGGTGTTGAGTAAGATTGCAAAGTACTTCCTGGCATGACCGCCCCAATGCTTGCATCTGAGACTGGCCACCTTGATGTTGTACATCTGTTGTTGGCAGCAGGTGCAGACACAGATTGCTATTGCTCGTGGACACGCGTGTCAGCCCGAATGAGCGCGTCTGAGAAAGGTCACCTGGAGATTGCACGCTTGCTCCTGGAAGCTGGTGCTGATAAAGATTCTTCGACTTACAGAGGCAAGACAGCACTGATGTTTGCATCTGCCAGTGGCCACTTTGAGGTTGCATGCTTGTTGCTTGAAGGTGGTGCTGATAAAGACTGCTGGACTGACGAAGGTGTGACAGCCTTAATGCTAGCATCGGGAAGCGGTCATGGGCACGTGCGGGTTGCACGTTTGCTGCTGGAAGCTGGTGCTGATAAAGATTGCTGGGACAAATATGGCATGACAGCGCTGATGCTGGCATCTTTTCACGGTTACTTTGAGGTGGCACGCTTGCTTGTGGAAGCCGGTGCTGACAAAAAAATGCGCGAACGATGACGGCCAAACAGCCCTGATGCTGGCATCGCGGCGCGGTTACTTTGAGGTGGCACGTTTGCTTGTGGAAGCTGGTGCTGACAAAGACTGCACAGACGATCATGGCAATACAGCCCTGATTGATTCATCTCGGTTTTGTCACTTGGAGGTTGCGCGTTTGCTTCTGGAAGTTGGTGCTGACAAAGATTGCGCAGACAACAGCGGCCGAACAGCCCTAATGCGGGCATCTCAGTACGTTTACTTTGAGGTTGTGCTCTTGCTTCTGAAGGCCGGTGCTCATCCGCACCCGCCTTCAGCAGCAAGAGCACAGCTGCTGACAAAGATTTCACAGACAACTACGGCCAAACAGCCCTAATTCTGACATCTCGGGACTATTGCTTTGAGGTTGCACGTTTGCTTGTGGAAGTTGGTGCTGGCAAAGATTGCGCAGACAACAGCGGCCGAACAGCCCTAATGCGGGCATCTCAGTACGATTTCTTTGAGGTTGTGCTCTTGCTTCTGAAGGCCGGTGCTCATCCGCACCCGCCTTCAGCAGCAAGAGCACAGCTGCTGACAAAGATTTCACGGACAACTACGGCCAAGCAGCCCTAATTCTGACATCTCGGGACTATTGCTTTGAGGTTGCACGTTTGCTTGTGGAAGTTGGTGCTGGCAAAGATTGCGCAGACAACAGCGGCCGAACAGCCCTAATGCGGGCATCTCAGTGCGATTACTTTGAGGTTGTGCTCTTGCTTCTGAAGGCCGGTGCTCATCCGCACCCGCCTTCAGAAGCAGGAGCACAGCTGCTGACAAAGATTTCACAGACAACTACGGCCAAACAGCCCCAATTCAGACATCTCGGGACTGTTGCTTTGAGGTTGCACGCTTGCTTGTGGAAGTTGGTGCTGGCAAAGATTGCGCAGACAACAGCGGCCGAACAGCCCTAATGCGGGCATCTCAGTACGATTACTTTGAGGTTGTGCTCTTGCTTCTGAAGGCCGGTGCTCATCAGCGCCGGCCTTCAGCAGCAAGAGCACAACTGCTGACAAAGATTTCACAGACAACTACGGCCAAACAGCCCCAATTCTGACATCTCGGGACTATTGCTTTGAGGTTGCGCGTTTGCTTGTGGAAGTGGGTGCTGGGCAAGATTGCGCAGACAACAGCGGCCGAACAGCCCTAATGCGGGCATCTCAGTACGATTACTTTGAGGTTGTGCTCTTGCTTCTGAAGGCCGGTGCTCATCCGCACCCGCCTTCAGCAGCAAGAGCACAGCTGCTGACAAAGATTTCACAGACAACTACGGCCAAACAGCCCTAATTCTGACATCTCGGGACTATTGCTTTGAGGTTGCACGCTTGCTTGTGGAAGTTGGTGCTGGCAAAGATTGCGCAGACAACAGCGGCCGAACAGCCCTAATGCGGGCATCTCAGTGCGATTACTTTGAGGTTGTGCTCTTGCTTCTGAAGGCCGGTGCTCATCAGCGCCGGCCTTCAGAAGCAGGAGCACAGCTGCTGACAAAGATTTCACGGACAACTACGGCCAAACAGCCCCAATTCTGACATCTCGGGACTATTGCTTTGAGGTTGCGCGTTTGCTTGTGGAAGTGGGTGTTGGCAAAGATTGCGCAGACAACAGCGGCCGAACAGCCCTAATGCGGGCATCTCAGTGCGATTACTTTGAGGTTGTGCTCTTGCTTCTGAAGGCCGGTGCTCATCCGCACCCGCCTTCAGAAGCAGGAGCACAGCTGCTGACAAAGATTTCACAGACAACTACGGCCAAACAGCCCCGATTCTGACATCTCGGGACTATTGCTTTGAGGTTGCGCGTTTGCTTGTGGAAGTGGGTGCTGGCAAAGATTGCGCAGACAACAGCGGCCAAACAGCCCTAACATCGCATCTGACCGTGGCGACTTCGGTCTTGTATCCTGAGTTTTAGAGAGCAGTCTCTCGTGAAAGCAGTCTTAAGTAGATTCTGCAACGCCTGCAGCGTTTAAGCTTATTCATTTTGAACCTCCCCGATTTTAGTTCTCTTATGCAGACACCCTGCAAACCATCGTAGCATTCTGTGCTCCAACACAGACGATTCGAAGAGCGACATGTGAGTTAAGTTCTGCGTCAGAAAGAGCAGAAGGATCATGGCGTGGACCCAGCACCAGCAATTGTAGACCTCATGTTCTAGTCAAGACTCCAGGTCGTAGTAGCGGTCGCCGTTCATTCCAGAATGCCTCGTGTTTGGAGACCCTCTGGGCAAGAGCTGGCTGTCGAAAATGCAGCAACGTTCGAGGATGCAGCGGCTTTGAAGCAGTATTTGTGCCAACTATATGGTTTTCCTGTGTATTTGCAGCAGTTTTTACAGGGTGACAGAGTCCTGGCAGATGATGCCATGGTGGAGGCCCACATGGATTTGCAGTTGGTGCTGCTCACGATCTATGGCAGTCCTGCAAATCTGGATATCCCACGTTTGGCAGCAGCAGATCTTGCAACTGCTGTTCAAGAGAATCGTTTTGACATGATCCACTGTTTGCTGGAAGCTGGTGTGGACAAAGATTGCAAAGTACGTCCTGGCATGACTGCCCTAATGCTTGCATCTGAGATTGGCCACTTTGATGTCGCACGTCTGTTGTTGGCAGCAGGTGCAGATAAAGATTGCTATGACGAGTGGGCAGGCATGTCAGCCCTAATGCGAGCGTCTGAGAAAGGTCACCTGGAGATTACACGCTTGCTCCTGGAAGCTGGTGCTGATAAGGATTCTTCGACTTGCAGAGGCAAGACAGCACTGATGTTTGCATCTGCCAGTGGCCACTTTGAGGTTGCATGCTTGTTGCTTGAAGGTGGTGCTGATAAAGACTGCTGGACTGACGAAGGTGTGACAGCCTTAATGCTAGCATCGGGAAGCGGTCATGGGCACGTGCGGGTTGCACGTTTGCTGCTGGAAGCTGGTGCTGATAAAGATTGCTGGGACAAATATGGCATGACAGCTCTGATGCGGGCATCTTTGCACGGTCACTTTGAGGTGGCATGCTTGCTTGTGGAAGCCGGTGCTGGCACAGATTGCAGAAACGTTCACGGCCAAACGGCCCTAACGCTGGCATCGCGGCACGGCTACTTTGAGGTGGCTCGTCTGCTTGTGGAAGCTGGTGCTGGCAAAGACTGCGCGGACAATGATGGCAATACAGCCCTGATTGATTCATCTCGGTTTTGTAACCCGGAGGTCGCACGTTTGCTTCTGGAAGCTGGTGCCGACAAAGATTGCACAGACAACAGCGGCCGAACAGCCCTAATGCTGGCATCTGAGCAAGATTACTTTGAGGTTGTGCTCTTGCTTCTGAAAGCCGGTGCCGACAAAGATTTCACAGACAACTACGGCCAAACAGCACTAATGCTGGCATCTAAGTGCGATTGCTTTGAGGCTGCACGCTTGCTTGTGGAAGCTGGTGCTGACAAAGATTGCGCAAGTGATGACGGCCAAACAGCCCTAATAATCGCATCTGACAGTGGCCACTTCAAGATTGTGCGATTGCTGCTGGAAGCCGGTGCTATGCAAGATTGCTCCGACCATGATGGCATGACGGCCCTCATGCTTGCATCGGAGATGGGGGACTTTGATGTTGTACGCCTGCTGCTGGGAGCAGTTGCTGATGCAGATTGCTGGAACCACCGGAGGGTTGATCGTTCCGACTATTTAGACTATTTCGTTGAGGATGACGAAGGCTGGCTTCCTGCTGGTAGAACAGCCCTAATGCTGGCATCTTGGGGCGGCCATTTGGAGGTTGCGCGCTTGCTACTGGAAGCTGGTGCCGATAAAGACTGCCGGGACGAGAACGGCATGACAGCCATGATGCTCGCATTCCAGAGTGGTCACTGTGAAGTTGTACGATTGCTGCTGTCAGCTGGCTGATAAAGGCTTCTGCACTCACCACGGCATGTCAGGCCTCGCGTTCGTGTGCGAGCGTGGTCTGCAACAACAGTTGGTGCCGAGCAGCATTGCCAATGTTGAGTCGAAGAGCGCTTGAATTGCAGGTGCATGGCTTGAGCCCTCATCAACTGTATTCCTAAATCTAATCTCTAACACTATGAGTCCGTCATCCCATCAGGCACAGTCAGCACCTCAGAAAGGCCAACAAGAATCCTAAGTCTCTGTGAAACAGTGGCGATCGCAAAACCTTCTGTACGTCCCTTTGCAAAGCCCTCTTACGCGGTTTGAGCTCCCAATCTAGTTCGAAACCTGCAAACCTCTGAACCAAGATCACACCTAAACCCTAAACCCTAAACCCTTGTAGAACCTCTGTAGATCCCAAGCAACCATCACAGACCATCCTTAGAGAACTCCAAAGCAGCTCTTGAAACTCCATAGCCTTCCCATCAAAGGGTGGTAGTCAGCCATTACTATAAGGGCCCGAAGAATTAACCAGGTGGGGGTTCCTTATTCTAAATTTTGTATAATGAGCCCCGAAACCGTATTCTAATTCTATAAGGCCCCTACATTATACAAAGAGAATCCTTCCAAAACCCAAAGAGGAGCTTTTCCACAGCCTCGAGGCACTAGCGCCTTGGGCTTCTGCCTGGAGCTTTCTGACAGGCGGCTCGTGGCAGGCTCCCGGGACTCAGCCACCCGGCTTGTCAGGAGTTTGGCTCCTAAACCCTGATTTTTTTTACGGTTCTCTTGAAGGTATCTTTTAGCTTCAAGGCTTCCTGTAGGGGGCTTTAGAGGTTTACGGGCCTTTAAGTTTAGGGTTGGGAGGTTTCGGTTTAGGGACCGTCATCGTCACCATCATTATCACCGTCATCATTGGAATCACACTCGTCACCACCTTCATCTTCGTCGTGGGTCGAAGGTTCAGGATCCAGGATGTAGGTTTAAGGTTCAGTGTTTGGGTCAGGGTTAAGAGATCAGAGTTCGGAAACCCAGACCCACTCTTTTGAGTCTGACGCCGAGGCGTGATATTTCAGACGTCAGTCCACCGTCGTAACGTCTGACACTCGACCGGAACCCTGAACCTGAAAACCTAGACCCTAGACCCTACCCCTAAACCCTAACCACCGCCTCCTTCAACAAAAATGAAGGACCCTACTCGTATCCCAGCTCTAGCCCGACCCACAGGGAAACTCGAAGGCCGCAGATCCCCGAGTCTGCAATGCCAGACCTTTCAATCCTTGAAGGCCAGAGATCCTAAGCCCAAAGAAGGTATATAGGGGCCTTAGTAGCTAGAATAGGGTTTTAGGGCCCATTATACTATAGTTACGATAAGGAGCCCCAAATAGTATCGGTTATTATTGCGGCCCCTATAGTAAGGTTTTCGGGTTTGGGATTCATTAGGGTTCCTTCGTAGACATATACTATACTATCGCCCAAAAACTCTCTCCTCGCCACTGAGGCCCAACCTGTGCTTCCTACGCCCTATGCCTCATACCTTATGTCTCATGCCCTCAAGGTTCTCCACTTCATACCCGCTGAAGACGCTGCGAATCGCACCTCTCGCCCCCTCCGGGAGTTGGGAGGCAGATTAGTCTGCAGCGCCCTTTGGCATGCAGTTTCAGAACAACAACTTGCGGGAAGGATCAGGGGATCTAAGCCCTGCGCCCAGACCCTGAACAGCCTTAAGCCGTAAACCCGAAAGCCCCCAATTCTAAACAACTCTAGTACCCGTAAATACATTTTGACAGGAACTCGTGCAGGAACCCTCTCTTAAGGGTTCTGTCTTGGCTTTAGGGTTCTTTTTGAGGGTTTCGGATTTTGGCTCCTCTAGAGGGTTTCGGCTTTGTTTTTTTTTGAGGGTTTTCGGATTTAGGGTTTACTTCACAGTTTTCTTAATGGTTCCTGTAAAGGAACCCCCCAAACGGAGTCGCCTGGCCCAGGCTGGGGCCCTGCCCTTCGGATCGGCTTGCGCAGGGCCAGCACTGCTGATAGGCCGGGGGCCGCCTTTGTGCAGTGGGTGTGGGGTTTAGGGCTCAGGGTTTAGGGTGCTTCAGGCCTTGGCCCGCAAGGGCGGACGGGTCCTAGGACACAATGTAAACTGGCAGTCAACCCTGAAGTGCCGACCCTAAACCCCAAACAACTTAGTCCATGGCTGAAGGCTCTACAAACCACCACCTGCTGCTCATGGACCTGCCGGAGGGGAGGCCAGTGGTGTAATGTAGGGGCCTCAATAATTACCAATACTATTTTTTGGGGGTTCTTTATTAGGATTATAGTATAATGGGACCCGAAACCCTATTCTAACCATTAAGGCCCCTACATTAGCAATCTCTGAAGACTTTCTGTTTCGGTTTGGGGTGCAGGGTTTGGGTTTCAGGTCACAGAGCTGAGGATTCGATTTTCGGGCTTGAGGGTTTGTGCAATTTTGTGGTTAGGGGTTTAGTGTCTGGGAGGGGTTGGGCTTGAAGATTGAGAGTTCCTTGGTAATCTCTGCAAGTAGGAGTCTTAGGGCTTAGAACCGAGCCAGCACGTCATATAAATCCTTCCCGCTTCCAAGCGAGGGCGTTGAAATAGTTGCGTCTGTTGCTGTTTGCTTGAACCTGAGTCTCAGAGCATACTTTTCTGCCCTAGAAGGGCGAACCCTAATGAACCTGAACTAAACCTCAACAAGAGGTTTCAGGATTTCAGCTTGTGGTACAGGCTTGAAGCGCTCGTAGAGGGAGCGCTGAGCCAGAGATTCTGCTATCGGTTCCCTTCAGGGTCCAGGGTTTAGGGGATTTCGGGTTAGGGTTCAGAGTGTGGAGTTAAAGTTTAGGGTGGGCTCAGAGAGTAGAGCTTGGGGTGTGCATGCAGAGTCTAGGGTTCAGGGATGCGGGATTTGTGGTTGTAAGCCCCAAACAGTAAACTGTCAGTGTAGCCTACAAGCCCTTCAATACGCCCTTAGATGAACCCTTTTAGGAGCCCCCTTGTAGAATGCTTGCGGAACTCTGTATATCAAAGCCCGAAGTATTTAGAGCTTGCGGCGGGCAGGTTGAAGCAGGTGCTGCACGTGGGCAATGCTGGTGAGGCAGGTGGGGGAGAAGGAGCAAACTAGTTTGTAGGGTTTCCGTTTAACTTTTGGAGTTTAGGGTTTGGGTTCCCTAAACTAGACCCTAAACTCTTAACCTTAAGCTCTAAACCCTAAACCCTTCATGATTTAGGATGTGCTGCAATGCCGGATGATTCAGTGTGGTTCTCTAAATGCTGGTGTCTTTGGTGCTCCAGAGGTGGTTTTGGTCTTGGGGTATAGAGCTTCCTAAACCTTTCAACCCAAATCCGATACTTTAAAACCCAGGCCCTAAGTAAACACGGTGTCGAGGAGGTGCGTGGGGCGAAGGGTTTGGGATGGTTTAGCCTCTGTACCCCTACCGTCCACCACGCCCAGCTTCTTGCTCCTGTCCAGGTGCACGCACTGGCCGTACATCCCTCGTCAGACATGCAGCTGTTCGCGACTGGGTCCTCGGATGTCGCCTCTCTAAATCAGTGCTCACAGGGTCAGGTGACTCAGCAAGCAGGCTGTATTATCTGAAGTTGGATCATTTTAAGTTTCACCCTACTCAGAATCCCCTGATCGTTTCCGGGTTTTGGAAGTGGCAACAGCTGTCTGAACACATTCTCACACACCAACAAGAGGTAACCAGTGTGGTTGAGGGCTTCGGGTTTATGCTTTAGGGCTTAGGGTTTAGTGTTTAGAGTTTAGGGATTCTGCCTTGATGGAACGCGTGCGGCTGTTGCTGCTGCTTCTGCGGCTAGCTGTACACCGGCAAACATCTAATGAGGTGTTATAGAGATGCTTGGTCCAGGGATCAAGCTTGTGAGGACATTTCGCAACCACAACAGCCTAAGTTCCTGGGGGTCCGAACAACTGTTCAAGAAACAAACATATATTTATATCCTCAATCTGAAGAGCCAACACCTGAATCCCAAGTTGTTTTCCCGAGGCTACTATTCGCTTCTGGGACGCACGTGACCACTCTCCTGTAGCCACCCGGCTTCATGGAGGCTCAGTGTATAGATGGATATAGCACGACAATATACTATAGGATGTTATAGTATAGTGGTGTACATTGTGTTCTATTGTACTATATTGTACCTGATTGATCTGGTGTCGTGCCTATGGTTTACGTTTTCAGTTCAGCGTTGGGTTGAGGGCTTGGGGGCCACAAGTTTTCCCAATTCCAAAGCGGGCTTCGGGGGGACCATGCGCTGCAACACAGCCTCGAACGGTTTGTTCCGACCTCGTGAAGCGAGCCGAGAAGGCCTGCAGTTCGAGATTCGAGAGGGATTTTCTCCAGACCCCGCGACGATGCTGTGTGTTTCGGAGACTCCATGTATGGTCCGCACGCCAGCAGCGCCTCTTGAAGCCGGATCTCTGGTCGTTTGCAGGCGTCCGCATACCACCCGAAAAGGAACGATCAGCCCTAAGCCCAAACCTGGTTCGCAATCTAGAAGCCTGAATAACTACAATGTATTTTCCCGTACACCATAACTACTGCCCAATCCCATTTTAAGTATACACCCTTTACGGAAGCCTTGTAGCTCTTATTCCTTATTCAAGGAACCCTATTTTATCTGCGTAATGCTGCTGAGGTGGGCCGCGTACTGGATTACACGCGCGACCAGTACTGGTGGCCAGATGGCCCAGTCCCCAAAGACGGGAAGCTCGGACGGGGTTTTAGGTTTCGGGATGAATTAATCAGGGTTTAGGGTTTTTGAAGTCAGTCCCTCCATCACGGAGTTTGCATACAGGCTTGATGAGGGTATAGGGTTCAGGCAGTCAGGCGTGCAAGGATACTCCGGAGAGCCAAATACATCTGCTGAGGTAAGCAGCCCAAATAACCTAGGCTCCCTCTTATGATGGAATCATGTCTTGATTTAAACAGCATTACAGAGTTCAACTGCATCGGGCTGTCTGAGCCTGCTCTGAGCAACAGGCATGGACACTCTAGGCTGTTGGCAGACATGTCTTTCCTGCACCGCAGAGACTCGTAGTTTAGGGTTTGCGATTTAGGCTTGGGGGTTTAGGGTTTAGGTGTGTAGGGGTTCGGGCATCTGAAGCTCCATTTCCTGAGGAAGGGCGTCTATGCGCTGGCCTTCTCCCCCTCTGGGAAGCCACCGGCTCGCACTGAGGAGTCGGTGCAACCCTAGTAACACTAAGAAGCGTTCTATGGGACTGTCAGAAGCTAGCCTTGTAAGGGTTTGAAGAAAGTACGTACCCTTACTTTTCTGAGACCCTCATCTCAAAGCTACCCTAACCCCTGAAAGTATATGAACCCCCGAATCCTAGGCCCTAAGCCCTACACGAACCCCCGACTCCTGGGCCCTCAGCCCTTTGGAAGAAGCCGAGGCAATTCGCCCTGGGCCATGGTGAGGGCACCATAAGGCGCATCGGAGAAGCTTAGGGGTCCTTCGAGGCGTTTTTTTGGTTCGGGTTCAGGGTTTAGGGTTTTTGGGGATTAGGATTTGGCAAATTTGGGGTTGAGGGTTTAGGAAGTTTAGGGTTTGGCAAATTTGGGTTTAGGGTTCAGGGTTTGGGGGACTAAGAGTTCGGGTCCAGCGTTTAGGGTTTGGATTTAGGGGTTCCTCACAGGGACTCTTGAGGAGATCGATGAGGGTTCCTTGCAAGGATTTCTATAAGGGATCTGCAGGAAGTTAGGGCCTAAGGCAATGGGAGGAAGGGGGTGGCGGATGCTCTTTAGGATCTCGGGTCCAGGGTTACAGCTGCAGGTCAAATCCGTGAATTCTTGCACAAGCCCTGTAGAATCCTCATAACCCCGTGTGAAACTCTGAAAGAGCCATGCCTTCTGCCCTTCAGCACTGCAGCACAAAGCCCTACAGCAGCCAGTTCATCTAACCCCAAACACTAAACCCGCAGACCCTAAAAGCCAAAGCCGTGACGCCTTGAAGCCAAAACGTCTGACCCCTTCGATTTCGAGCCTTTCCCACAGGCTCCTCACATTTCCAGAGCTGCAATCCAAGGCGGCGCCCTGGCCATAGTCTTTCTTTAAAGCTAAATCTAATGTGATAGAAGATAATGGTTTCATAAGATAAGACGAGATAAGTTAAATCGATTCACAATCGAAGCATTTTTCCTTGGCTAAAAAATGGTCTAGCTTGATTTTCCTTAGTTTGTTTTGGACTAATTTTTGTTGCAGCCTTCGGAGTTCAGGCTCTAGGATTTTAGGGTTTGAGAGTGGGTGTAAACTGGGGCTTCCGGCACAAACAGATGATGGTAACTGCGATGGGTGTTAGCGCGATTTCTGCGAGGATTGGATTACATGCCTCTGCGATTACTATGTAGTTGTTCTTACAAGGATGAGTTTGGGAACCATATCTGCACGGACTGTTCTAGGTTGTGGAGAGTCATGCCTTAAGGGGACTTTCCTGAAAGGTGGAGGTTGGAGGAGCCCGTGCTGCGACTCGAGGTAAACCGTAATTGGCATACTTAAGGGGCACAATATAGAAGTCGAAATCAGTACCAATACCATTGCGGGGTTCCTTATTATGATTATTGTGCCCTGAGCATCCCATATTGATTACAATCAATCAATTTCGCAAACAGATATTGATTTTTGGCGCAGCGCCAAAAATCAATATGCAAAAAAAACGACATATTGATTAGCATATTGATTAGCATATTGATTAGCATATTGATTAGCATATTGATTAGCATATTGATTAGCATATTGATTCGCATATTGATTCTCATATTGATTCTCATATATGATTTTCATGGCATTTTCATGATGGATGTGCATGCTTGGAAAAGCATGCATAATGCGATTGATTTGGCATATCATGTGCTGCAGTGCATGTTTTTGGAGTGATCGAATTGCATGCCCGCCGCTGCCCGCCGTGCTCCCAGCGAGAGTGTACAGTTCAGAAGCAGTCCACCAGGCAAAAGCATATGTTTGGGTAGGCACAGCACTCTACAAACCTTAAACCAGATCGGTCAGCAGGCCGGCAGCAGCAGTACAGCACCATGCAGGCAGCAGAGCAGCCAGAGCAGGCAGAGTAGGCAGCGAAAGTAGGTAGGTAGTCGCCTTCCTCCCCTGGCCTTCCTGCGAAAGTTTCACCTGCAACAGCAGGTTTTTTGGTTCTCTTCGGAAAATATAGGCTTGGGAAAGCCTGGATTGCGAAAGCCCAACTGTTACTTCATCGGTTTGGGAAAACCGGTTCGGCGAAGCTTGGGAAAGCTTAAGCTGTCCACTTGGGAAAGATGGTCAGGGGCGGGGCAAGGCATAGTCCGAAGCCCATGATAGACTCCGGGGTCCTTTATACGGCCCTGAAGCTCTATCAGCCCATGGTCGCCGACATGGGCGCTTACGAGCGGATAAGCAGCAGCCAGGCCCCGGACTGGAAAGCCCTGGTGGGCCTGGCGGACCTGTGGAGAAACCTTTTGAAGGTTTCTCCAAGTGGGGAGGTCCATGCCCAGCCCCTCAGGGCGGCTCTGCTGTCGCTCCTTGCACACTGTCCGTCGCTCAATTCCTCGGATTGCAGCGGACAGGTGTGGGTTGGGCTAAGGGTGGAAAGGATCAACTGTCTGTTGACCCATCTTCGCAAGATAAAGCGAGATGGAGAAGGCGCCTTGGGAAAGGCAGCAGCCAAGCTCAGCAGACAGGAGTTCCAGCAGCTGCAGGCTGGGCTGCAGTTGCTCACCCTTAAAGACGAGGAAAGCTTGGAAAAGCCCTCGTCCGCCCAGCCGGACTTGGGAAAGTCGGGGCCTGGCAAAAGCAGAGACTTGGAAAAGACACCCAGGAAGCTTAAGAAGCGGGACAGCGACGACGTGTCGCTCAACAGCTTCGGCCTGCCACGAATGTTCGACAGCCCCCCAGCCTCGAAGAAGCAGCGAGGAGAGCCCAGCTCTTCGTCCAAGGACCCCGGGGTTGGCTTGGAAAAGCCATCGTCGAGTTTGGCACTTGTCCCCTTTGAGCCGGAGCTGGTCTCCAGGAAAAGAGCCGGGAGCAGGGTTCCGGCAAAGCAGGAGAACCTTTCTGAGCTCCTGGGCTACTCAGCCCCTGCCGAGGAAAACAAAAAGAAGAAACGAAAGAAGAAGAAGAGGAAGCTGCTTGGGAAAGCAGAGGCGGCTGAGGCAGAAGCTGCCGAGCCAAAGGCTTCGCCGAAAGCGAAAGCCAAGGCTAAAGGCAAAGCGAAAGCCGCCCCAGCGGCTAAAGCGAAGGCGAAAGCGAAGGCGAAGGCAAAGGCCTCCCCGAAAGCCAAGGGAAAGGCAAAAGCCGTGGCGGCAAAAGGCTTGGAAAAGCCAAAAGGCTTGGAAAAGCCAAAAGGCTTGGAAAAGCCAAAGCGGAAGCCATGGCTTGCCATCACAAAAACGAATGCCAGCAACCCTCGCAGGGCCTACTTGCTTGGCAGGACAGAGGTTGGCGAGAAAATGCGGCTTATTATTGAGGTGTCGCAGTCGAGATGCCCTGCCTTCGAAGGCATCATCGACGAAATCAAAGCAACCTTGGAAAAGGAGCACCTCACTAAGGAGGAGGCCAGGGACCTCCGTGAGCACCTCTGCAGCCAACATGGCTGCTGAAGGACGTGTTTGGAAAAACACTAGCTGCCGCTTCGTTCTTTCGTTCGCTACTGTGGTGGCCCGCTTGGAAAAGCCTGGCCTCTGTAGGTCCTGCAGAAACTTGGAAAAGTTTTTAGGGGTAGGCCGACCGCTTTCGACTTTCTCGGCCTCCTGGCTGCGAAAAATTGAGACATGGAGCTTGATTTTCGTCTCTTGCATGTACGTTTTCGCATGTTCACATTTTTTGGAACGTGTGCATGTATATATATATATATATATATATACACGGCAGTGCGAGGCTCCGAGCATGCATGCATGGACCATGCAGGACAGCATGACACAGCAGAGCACACAGACAGAACACTTTCACAGAGAGAAGCAACTGGGTTTCTTCAAAGACCTTGGGGGTCTATATGTGATATATATATATATATATATATATATATATAGATTGTGGGGTTTAGGGTATAATAGGCCGGGGCTTTATAACTCTCTCTCTACTTCAGGCCGGGTTTTTAGCCTGGGGGTGTGGGGGTTCAAGTCTACCTTCAGGTTGTAGTGCCGCTTTAGGTCCTTCTAGGGCCGCCGGTAGGGCCCTCCCTTCTTGGGGTTCCTTAGGCCTATAGCAGCACAGTCGCAGACACAGTAGGTTGTAGGCTAGCAGTCGTAGCCAGCAGCCGTAGTTTTGAGCCATAGTCCCGGCTCACGGCTTGGAAAAGCCTGTAGCCGAAGAGCTGCAGGCTTGGAAAAGCTTGTAGCTGCTGGAGGCTTCGGCAGCCTCGACAGGCTTGGAAAAGCCAGCTCTCCAGCTGGCTTGGAAAAGCCATGGGCTGGCAGAACGACAGCTACGAGGATAGCTGGAGCAGAGACTGGCAGGCTTGGAAAAGCTCGTCCTGGGACTGGCAGGCTTGGGAAAGCCCCGCCCAGCCCGCCAACTACTGGCACGACAGAAGTTGGAAAGATAAGGACGACGACAAGGCTTGGAAAAGCACCAGCCAGCCCGCCAAAGACTGGCACGACAGAAGTTCGAAAGACAACAAGGACGACGACCAGGCTTGGAAAAGCAAAAGCTCCAGCTCCAAGAACGACGAGGCTTGGAAAAGCCAGAAGAGCTCCTCAGACTCCGAGGGGCTTAACTCGCACAAGCGGCCGAAAGGCTCTGGCACCACTTCGAAGACCCGCCAAGACAAAAGAAGGGGCAAGCAGTGGGATGTCCTGGAGAAAAGAGGTGCCGAGCACCAGCCAGACACGGTCGAAAGCATGAAGGCACACTTGGAAAAGTTGGCTAAAGCCGATCGTAAAATGAAGCAGCGGCTCGAGGAGCTCAAATACGAAGAGGAGCTTGGAAAAGCTAAGGCGAACAAGGAGGCGGATGAGCTTGGAAAAGCTAATCCGCCATCGAGCTCCAGCAGCTCCGAGACCCCGCAAGGCAAGCCGCCAAAGCTGCCCAAAGTGGAGGAGACGAAGGAGGAGGAGGTCGAAGAGGAGGTGGACTGGGATGCCGACGAGGAGGACAAAGAGAAGCTTGGAAAAGCATCTCCTGCTCCGCAGCAGGGCAGGCAGGGCAAAAAAGGCTTTCGATCCACCGGTGAGGTCAAGCTGACACCAGGGAGAAAGCTGGTGCAGCTGGACTTTCACAACTGCTTGGAAAAGCAGGGGTCGATTCCCGCCGAAAACGTGGAGGCCCTGCACCGTCTGTGCGATCACACGGATGTGTACGTGTGTACGTACGTGACGACCTATAAAAGGGAGAAGGAAGTGACCCGCCAGCTCAAAGACTTGGAAAAGTCGATGCAGAAACGAAGCCCAGAGCTTCGCCTGAAGCTGGCGGTCACTTACGAGAAGTGTGGCGAGCTTGGAAAAGCCGCCATTGCCGACTACAACTCGGCATCGTATTGCATAGACGATGCCTGGCGGGTGATTTCTGAATGCCTTGAGTACAAGGTCTGCGAGATGTGCTTTGCAGTGCAGACTCCGGAGCAGAATCACTCCAAATTCCTGAAAAGGAAGGGGGTCAAGGTTGTCAAGGACTTCCCCGAGGCAGTCAATGACATCCTCGACCTCCTGCCGTAGCTTGGAAAAGCTATGGTCCGGAGAAGGCTTGGAAAAGCCCATGGTAGCAGGCACATCGGCTGGCTTGGAAAAGCCAGCCGAGCAGCAGACAGGTTCAGTGGCTTGGAAAAGCCGGCTTGGAAAAGCCAGTAGAGTAGGATCGCGAGCCCTAAGACGGGGCTTCGAAGTTGCTGCCCTGGCACCAGGTGTTTTATAGATATGTTAGCTGTTAGCATTATAGATGTGTATGTATAAAACATATAAGGGCTATAAGGGCTGGAAGCCTTAGAAGTGCATAGCTTGGAAAAGCACCGGTGCCAGGGCGGCAGGAGCTCTCTACCAGTGAGAGACACCCGAAAAAAAGCGCGGATTTGCAAGGGTTCTTGGGCTGGGGGTTTAGAGGCTTCGGGGT